AAGAACCCGAAGACCTTCAGTTATCAATATTATTGATAAAACTACTTTTGACTTCCATGACTGCAAGGATTTGAATTCAATCTTTACTACTAAATGTTTCTTTTTGAAAACATGATCTCTCCAGTTTAAGAAATACTAGTTGAATAACTCTTTCATTTGGAGAGGTAAGGATTGACACAAAAATAAAGCTGTACAGAGGGAAATGAAAAACTGAAGTTAAGATTTGGAAATATATTCTGATGCCTAAATGCTATTGATTGCAGTAGGCATTCAATACTTGAATGCATTTAAAAATCTGACTGTAGTTCCAGTAGCTGGAGTAAATAGAAGAGGCCAGTCAGATTGACTGTCAAGGATGCATAACAGTGGTTGCTGAACCATACATTACAGCAGCGCTGAGCACTTTTGTTGAGTCTTAGGAGCAAAGTTTTTACTCTGAGTGGCTTGAATACTGGTGAATAAAAAGAAAGACTGGACATGCTGTATGTAGGGAGAGGGGAACTAAGATCTTCCACATGCCATAGTATAATACTGTGATTGTAAAGGCTGTTCTGTTTTGTTTGTGGATTTGTATCTGTACAGGATCCATTCTTTTTAAGTTTTCCTAATGCTAGACAAGTAATAGCCCACTTAAGTAACTCTGAGAACTTCATATACAAGCGTAGGGTAGATCACTAAAAAGTTATTCTGAAGTGTCTTTTACAGTTGGGTACCTAGTATGTCTCTCCTATTTTGGGGCATAATGACACCAGTCTGCTATCCTAACACACTCCATCTTGCTAAACAGTTAAATAAGGTGCCAATAACCATGATGTTAGCTGTAGACTAACAACTCTGTTCAGATGCTCTTCAGCCTTACGCTACTCTGGCTTCAGCTATGTCTGTAGCACTAAGTAGAGCAGGGTCTCTGGCCCTTGGGACCAAGAGATGCAAAGTGATCACACTTGCTTTGCACAACATTGGTCCCTGATCCTGCTCTGAGTTTCATGTGCTATCGCTATGGTTCTAAAGCACACTTTGATTTTTGTTTTTGGTTCAATTTTTCTGTACTAAAACATTGCAACTGATTAGAGTGATGTTTTCACAGTGAGCGAGTAACAGTAGTTACTGGTGTTTCATGGTACCCGTTTCATCCTCTATTTTGGGGCATGAAGGATTGCTTTGAAGACGAAGAGCCTGTGGACATGGTGTTAAGAACTATGCAAGATGGAGAGTCAGATTTTGCAGAGTTTGAACAATAATTGTCTGCTGGAAGTTGTGCCCTGTAAATTCTGCTCAGACTATGCCTGGGCAATGACCTGGGGAATCAAGCTGGATTATGCTGAAACCAAGCCACCGACAATGCCAGTCTAAAAACTGAAAAAAAAAAAAAAAAATCATCTCCTTAGAATTACATAAATTGACACTTGTAAGCTGTAGCACAGGTGGAAAAGGAAAGAGGTTTTCCACAGTTTGACTGGAAAGTAGAGATGATGGCACTTTTGAGGAACTTCTCTGGTAAGCAAAACATGCAAGTTGCAGTTTTTATGTTCTTAACACCAGGTTATGAGCTAGCATTTTTTCTAGCTTCTTCACATATCACCTAATCTTTCTAATGCTTCTGCTCTCCCACCACCCATCTAACTTTTATACTCACACTTTATTTAATCAGCTGATCTCACTACCACTTGTAAAAAACTGAACATTTCTCTTCTGTGATGTTGAGCTAAATATTTCCTGGGTATACAAATCGCAAATCATTCATGATTAGATAGCTAATATAACTGATGCTTTTTTAATCACTGAGAAACTTATCACCCAGCTTCAGGAGTATGATTTTAAAGTCCTGAATCTAAATGAAGATCTCTTTATAACATAAAACATTATACAAATGAGCATGATATCTAAAATTGACCTTAGATTTTAAAATTTATTTCCTCCAAATAACATTGGTAGTCTCATTATTTTTGCACATTCTTGCAAATAGTAAAGATGACAAACAGCCCACAATAGCTCCTTCTGCTACTTTCCCAACTCCTTTTCCATCTTAGAAAACAGCTGGTAAAAAAAAAAACAAAAACAAACCAACAAAACACCACCACAAAAACAAACCAATCCAAACCAAACCAAACCAAACCAAACCAAACCAAACCAAACCAAAACAACAAAAAAAAACCCACATCAGATATGAAATATTGTTCTGCAGGGTCATACAAATAAGGAGTTGAAGAATATCAGGGGTCTAGAAATGACCAGACCTTTGCCTAGTCAATTAAACATCTCATCACAGGTACTTGCCTAGCAGGATAATGATGCAGAGGAGAATGGCAACCAGTGCCCCTGTGCTGAGGCCAGCAGGGAGGAGCAGGGCCTCAGCATTGCAGGACTGCATGTTCCCCCGGCTGTCACAGGCACACACTCGAATGGTCAGCGTGCCAGTGCTGCTCTGGATCGGGTAGTCATTGTCAAATATTATGATTGGCAGGAGATAAGTACTCATCTTACTACGGCTGTATCCATTTCTTCTAGTCATAATTCCTGCCGTGTTATCTAGAATGGAAAAGCAAAATAAATAAATATTGCTGGATGAAGTTTTATGTGATATGGGGGTGGGGTGGTACTGATCAGCAGTTACCTTTGTTGTCTACAATGGAGAAGTTTGGATGAACAGCAAATTCTGGCACCAACTCAAAGAAAAATCTGTGTCCTCGAGGAGGCTCATCTCTATCAACTGCACTCACAGTCTGTATCAGCTACAAAGAAAACATTTTGTGCTATTTTAGAAATCTTGTGTTTGAAATAAGGTCTCTACTTGTCATGCCCAGTAGAAATCCAATGAATCTCTATCTGAAGACAAAAACTGAAACTTTCTTTCAAAGCCGAGAGTCAATGCCTCTCTTGAGGTTTTCAAGTGTTTCCAGTGTGTAGGGTGTCCTGAAATCCCACAGACATCAAAACCACTTGTTATTACAGACTTACTTTGTGACTTGTTTTTCTGATATTTCCAGGGAAAGTAAAGCATGACTTCTTCAAGAAATTCAGTAACTGACAAGTAACACCGACACGAATTTTAAGCTTTGCAGCAATTAAGTAAGGAATGGCTTCTTTCTTATATACTTTTTCTGAACATTACTTCAGTGAGGCTTGATACAGTCAAATTTTGGAAGATATTTAGCACCTCTCAGGATGGAACATTGTATTAGACAAACATAATTATAGAGCTACCAAGAATACTAAAGTCTTTCTCATACTATATCTTTCAGAAACCATGTGATGCTGGTACTGTACTGCACAATGAGTATTTGACCCATTATTTCTAGTTAATTTTGGGATACTTTTATTACAGCGATTAAGTTGTTATTAAAAAAAAAAAAACTGTAGAGAAAGTCTGTTTGACCCATTCACTTCCTAACAGTTCCTTCTAAAACAGCCACAAGATTTATTATTTTTTATGATTTTTTTTTATTTTTGAGGCATTTTTAGGAACTTGAAAGGTAGTTTGTGAACATCAGCCTTGTACAAGAGGACATTACTACACTGAAGGAAAGATTATGCAGTTTTTCGAAGTGTGGTTAGAATAACAACTACATATTAAGGTCTCTTCACTTACAAAACATTTGATGGTCATTGCTCTTTAGATTTATTTTTTTTTTAAGTTTTAGCTGTTTCCCAAAATCGGCCAAGTCCCTGTTTATGGCAAAGTAGCCTGTTCAGCATGTTGCTGAGTCTCTGATTATATTAACATTTTTCCAATGTCTCATTGCTTTTCTCTTTGCCATAATCTGCCTCTGAGAGTGGCAATACAGACAGCAAGACCAGGATGGTGCTTAATTTTAGTTTTGCATTGCTCAATGCAAAAAAGTAATATTGCTACCAAAAATAAAATCCTTCTGATAAGACTAAAATATCAAATTGAAATGAGAAAATTTTCCTATCACATTTTTACAAGTTTAAAAAGCTAGAAAAAGTGTAAAAGTACCAAAGATAAGAGAGAGAATAAGTGATAATATTTGTGAAATTACTTGCTGAAAAACTCAGGGAGAAAATATCCTGATATAATAGCTACCAGAAATTGCAGTTGAGTATCTTGCGGCTTTTTGAGATGTAATCAGTGGGATGTTTGTAGGATCTGGATTTGATTCCCTTCATGTGTAAATCACATGGAGGAGAACAATTGTGCCAGGCATAGAGGAACGTAATTACATTGAAAACTTATTGTTGAAGGTAAGGCTGAAGAAGAAAAAAAAAAACCAAAAAAAACCCACCTTATTACCTGCTCTAACTATTGGCTGCATAAATTGAGAACCAGCTGTTCTTCCACCAAGAAAGATGAGAGAATAAAAGAACAATGAGAAAGAATGATTGCAGGTGAATTTCTCCAAATGATGAATAGGTGAAAGGAAATTAGAAATGTTATCTAATTAAGGGATTTTTTTTCAGTTATACAACTGTAAATAAAAGATAATGTTAATGATAATCACTGCAGAAATGAAAGACCTGTGGATATTTCCGCTTTAAGTATCACAATTATATAAAAAACATTGGTATTGTTTCATGTACATTTTGAAATTCCTTGTTGGAAATGTATTCTGCCATTTTCGAGCAGTTATGAACATTGAGTTATGATCACTCTTCACCAGAGTTTAGGGAAAGATCTCTGATGCTGTAAGATTTATGACAGAAGAGTTATTTCAAGCAAATGACTTTTACTCAAATATGTTTCAAGCACCTCAGGCTTAGAAAAGATAAAAAGCATTCTCATTTTTTTCTTTCTTCCATAGTTTCCCATGCAAATGAGGATGATTTGGAAAACGTAGTATTATTGGAATTATTTCGAGGGCTGCATGTGCATGTGCATTTCTGTGTGTTTAAAGAAACAGTCTCATACTCTCGAGTGGATCTGATTGGGCAAATGTAAGTTTCATGGGGTCACTTGTCTTCAAGGGTACTGAAAATTTAAGTGTAGGCAATGACATAAAGTTTTCTGGTTTACACTCAGGACAAAGTGGTTGTAGTAGCTTGACAATGTAAGATGAGTTGTGAATAAGGAATTATTCCAACTGGAAAAAATTCTTGAAGAATTTCTTTTATGCTGAAGCCAGAGATTCTGTTAAAGGGTTTGGACATATTTCCCATTGGCATAATTTTTTCAAATGTGGAAATAGTTTGATTATGATACTGTTTTGTGGGATTTTTTTCTCCTGAGTACTGTGTTTTTAAGGTCATGCCTTACATTACAGTCAAAATAATGGTTGTAGTTTATATTCAGGCTATGTTATAGCTATTCATACTCATCTCTGAAAAAGTGATTGGGGATGAATAGACTGCCTAGAAGCAGATTCCTTACACGTATCTGTTACATCCTTAGACGTAGTCTGCTCTCCGTTTTTCTTCAAGCTGTTTTAGAGACAGAAAGTGAGTAAAAACGAGGCAGGGACATTCTGAACTAACTAGGGTTCCTGTGCACTTCAGAGGATGCCCTTACTGTTCCTGAGGCTGCATTTGTGGACACGGAGAGCTGCACAAATAGGAGACTTGGGTCATGAGCTCAGCCTTGAGACTGTCTCTAAAAGGAGTATAGAAACCATTAAAGCAAATGTTAAGCTAGTAGTGCATCTTAGAGGTCAGCATCAGCTAGCCACTTTTTAGATGGGCTTTTCAGCCTGTGCTGGCTTGACATGTCATGCAAATAAACCACGGTTGCACATCAGCTCCAGGGTACAAACTTTAAAAATGCAGCAACACGCTTCAGACAGATTCTTGAAAGGTTCACTGAATAAAGCAGAACAAGATGAGGTCTATGGGTGGACAGATGCAATATATTTTCAGGTAAAAAATTTCTACTAATAAAACAAAATTTGAGACAAATAGAATGTCTGCAATGTAATTTACTGTTGCTTCTTTTCAAAACAGTAGCATATCAGTGGTTGCTACCGTATTTTTAAACATTTTTTCAACGTTCCTTCTTTTAAAATTCACTATAAACAAGACACTGAAAAGTAACATCACTTTCACAGGAATTTAACTATGTTCTGTTGTTGTACAGTGTCTTTTTGAAGTTTTAAAAGAAAGTAATTGTCATATAGCATGAAAATTTAACTTCCAGTCTCAGAGAAGTAAGACCACTGGAGACAGACACTGTTAAGCTAGAGATAGGGCAACAGCTTCTGAATTTTGTTGTTTCTTGTATGCGATTATTGATATGCAGAGGAGTAGATTTTCAATCCAGTTGAATCATTTGGGCTTTCATTCTTGTTATATTATGCTCTTAGTTAAACCTGGATATTGTACAACAGAGAAATTTCTCAAATGTCATTTATCTACTTTCAGCTGTTTCTGAGATAAGACTTAAAAAATATCATTCGGCACTTGAGAAAGGAATTATTGGGGCATTTTTCTTTTTGTTTTTGCCCAATACTTTTTTCAGAAGTGTTACAGGAGAGAACGGAACAAATCCTAGTTCTTGGAGCACTGGCTTTGTCGTTCTTGAAATTTACTACATTTGTTTTCTGCTGAAAATATTTCTCAGGGAATCTGGAAAGGTCTCACCACTTTGTCTGCAATAAACTATGAAACAGTATATTGTGAGAGACACTGTACTTTCGACAATCATCAAAAAGTAGTAGTGTGCAAATGGTATGGGGGAATGGTGGAAGAGCAAATTTGTGTTTTTCCTGTCGTTTCTTTCTCTTGCCCCTCTTCCTGCCTGTATGATCTGGTAGGGCCAATCACTAATCTTGAATGTATTAATAACACAGCACAGTGTAAGTGGGTGGGATGAAGATTTTGTAGATGATTTTGAAGTGGCTACATTTCTCTAGGAATCAATTAATAATATAGTTCAAGTGTCCCCACACAGAAGTGTCAAAATCAATCCAGCTGTCAGTGGATGGCCATCTTGTCATTTTGTGGTATGAATGATCACATATGTTCAGGCACAATTCTGGCCTGTACACCTGTGTGGTGCTAGCTGCAGAAAGCAGCCTCCATCACGTGTGTGCAAACTTGAATAGGTCTTTGGTATTGATACTTTATGTCTTAACGAAATGTTCTGCAATGCCTGCCACTTAACAAAGCCTTATGTTTGGTAATGCAAAACAGTTCGGTCTTCAAGTCTTGGCTCTGTTCCACAAATGTGCTGACAGTATTAAAGCAGGACTGAATGCTTATCAGAAGTTGGAAAATTCTCCCTTGAACTCCAATTTTTACTTCAAAAGAGAGAGACTGTTAGCATGGGTCTCACTAAATCAAGCAAATAGATGCCTACCTAGAGAAGGCAGCTACAAAGTATAAACAACTCGTGACTGATAATTAGCAATGGCCACATGAAAAATGCCATCTCTGTGTGTTCCATCTGAAAAAGGGAGGGGGAGTATGGAGACTAATGAAAAGAAAAGTCTGCCAGCTTTCTGAAAGAGGAAACAAACTCTCTGTTCTGATATCTGAGAGCCCCTGAATGGCAGGAAAGAATACAGCATCAGAAAAAAAAAAAAAAAGAGACCCTGTTTATTTTCTTAAATATTGTTATTGATGGGTGTTGAAATTAGCTAAATTGTTACTAGCAAATTGTTCTGTTAAATCAGTCTCCTTTTCAAGTAAATCTTCCTGGTTTCCATGGAGAGGACTCATCCTCTAATCCAGTTAAAAAGACCCAATTAATTCTCGTGACAAGGGCATGAGAGAACTTGCACCAGAGCCTTCCCCACAACAGTCCCTGGGGCTCCAGCACGCCATCAAAGGATTAGGGATTTCT